CCCTGAGAGATGCTAATGATGGATATTACCACGATTCCCTAAACTGAGACTTGGGCTGCCTAGCAAAGGAATTTTGTGTCCAGACCAGCAGTGTTTGCCACATTGCAAGAGAGAGGAGAGGAATTTTTACCCTTAGGGAAGTCACGTGTTGGGGGCCCTGCCCTGGCAGTTGTGATATTGTGACATTCAGTGCCAGGCCTTTGGAGCAGTGCCAATTCTGAGGCTGGTGCCAGAATCAAAGACCTGCTCAAAGGTTGATGCTAAAAGCTCCAGTTAGTCTGTTTTCCCTTTTTCTTCTTTTTGTGAAATCTGTATCCTCAGACTGTGAACCTGCACTTATAGGGTAAGCAGAAGTGTATCAGGGTTTAGCCTTTCCTTACCCAGGATTCTAAAACTTTTTTTTTTTTTTAGACAGGGTCTGTCTGTTGTCCAGGCTAGAGTGCAGGGGCCTAATCATAGCTCACTGCAACCTTCAACTCCTGGGGTCAAATGATCCTCATGTCTCAGCCTTCTGTGCAGCTGGAACCACAGGTCCTTGCCACCACACCCAGCTAATTATTTTTTTCTAGAGGCGAGATTTCACTGTGTTGCCCAGGCTGGTGTCCAACTTCTGGCCTTAAGCATTCCTTCTGCCTTAGCCTCCCAAAGTGTTGTGATTACAGGTGTGAGCCACTGCATAGGCCTAAAAGTTTCTTTTCTGAAACAGTCTCAAGAGGAAAAGGAGGGGTGAGAGTCAGGTGGTGAGACTTACCCACTTAGTTCTAGTTGAAAGTGGCCATTGGGGTCTCTCTAGCAAATGCTGAGAGAGTTTTAGAATTTCTGGACCACTGGGAATGAGTTTTAGACATGATGAAGATGAGAGTTACGCGGAGTATAGGCCCTAAGAACCAACATGGGCAGCAGTAGGGACAAGAAGAGGTAATACAGTGCCCTATAGGATTTCTGTAACTTTGGTTTTCCTACAGTTTCTGATATGGCTATATAGCAGGATCCAAAGTCTTAGTGAGTAAGAGATGGGAGAGTAAATAGCTCTTGTGCCTTTATACTAGAAGTAGTGAAGAAGTACTAAAGAAGTTTAAGTGAGTGTAACCGCCTGGAAAAGGAAACCTAGAGGAAGTTTCTGTTTCATCATCGTCAATAGAAGTCTGGAGCCAAGGAAGCTCTGGCAAATGGTTAGTTATATATTAGAGAAAGCCACTTTATGAAACAAAAGGAAATTCCCAGAGGTGCAACCTTAATTCAGAAGACAACAAAAAGTCCTTTGCAAAAAATCCATCTAGCGAATGTGACCTTAGCCTTCTAGTCTCATTTCCCATGAGATGTAGCCAGACATCCTGTCTTTTCACACCTCTGTGCTTCACAAACTTGTAGCACACTCGGAGTCTAACTTTGCAAGGCTTACCTTGATGTCAGCACCTTTAAAGCTTTTTGTAGGACTCTTGGTCAAAATTCATCCCTTTCTCCGTCTCTTGATTCACATTACCCTCTGTTTATCATTTGAGTTTAGCAAGTCACAGAAAACAGAACAAAAACAAAACAACATATATCTACCTATTTCCTGCGTGCAAATACGAACTCTGAGGTAGGAACTCTGACTTATCTTTACATTAACTCAGACCTGTTAGGAGGAGGGAAGGACTGATTCATCTGTGTCCCCTGCCCCCGGTCCTGCAGTGCCTGCCATGTAGTAGAATCTCAGTAACCTTTTTGCTGACCAGAATTGATTCTGGGTTAATCAGATGAACACTTTATGTGAGTAAGCTGACCTGAGTCTCTCCCTCCCCACTCTGGGCAGTGACCCGCTTTGTGGCTGGTACACTGTGCTCCTGGCTCAATCATACTTATAACAGGGGGTACTATTTGCTTTGCTTAGTCCTGACTCCAACATTCTCCCTTTGATCTCTGCCGCCTGCCCCAACCAGCCCCTGCCATTGTCCTGCCCCAGGAGCTAATGTTTCTGTTTCCCAAGCTCAGGCTCTCTACCTGCTAGCATATTGTGAGAAAGATGCCCAAGGAATCCAAGGTCATAGGAAACAGCTAGAATGGGATTAAAGGTATGGCCTCTCAGCCCCTAAGGTTTCCAGTCCAGACTACCTGCCTCCTTTTTATCTACTTGCTTTTTTCTTTGTCACTTTAGAGAGTTTGTTTCTTAGCTGGATGGCAGATGATTTGTCATATGAGGGATTGTGGGTTGTGATCCTGGGAGAGGCTGGGACTGCCCTTTTGACTAAAATTTTGTTGTTCAGAGAAGTGCATAGAGTTGTTATTATATGTGTAAGCCCTGAAGCCAGACTGCCTGGATTCTAATCCTGCTCCACCTCTTACTAGCTTTGACTAAGTACCTCAGCCAAACCAGGTCAGCTAGTGCCTACCATCCATTCATTCCCAAATAGTTATTAAGCCTCTGTCATGCTCTGGGGGATGTTCTAGAGCCCAGGGAAGGAGTAGTGAATAAGACAAAAACAAGTTAATACAGTTAAAGTACTTAAGGTGGTGCCTAGCACATAGTGAGTGCTCAGCAAATATGGTAATATTCTGTTCCCAGTATTTTTCTGAAAAGATGAGTTCTGACAATTAAATTTATAAACTCATCCTAGAAAAACTGCTACATATTTCATTATTATGGTCACTTTCAAAGTACTCCCCTTGGGAAGCTATGAACTAATGCCTATGCCTAGTCTACCCTTCAGAGCAATTTTGGAACTCTTTTTCTGGAATGACCATCAGAACTGTCAGTGTGTGACACACAAAAACACTCAATAACAGTAATGAATACAACTAAGCAAGATACTGCCACATGTCAACACAAATGCAGCTATGAGACACTATACCAAAATTATGAAACCTTACCAAGTTGTTTGTATAGTGCTGCCAATGTAAGTGCATGGTGGCAAGTTTGCGAACTTAATTGTCGAACCTCATACAACAACGGCTCTGATGGTCTTTTGAGAAAAAGAGTTCCAAAATTGCTTTGAAGGGTGGACTAGGTGCTGGCATCAGTTTCCCACAGGGAGTGCTTCAAAGGTAACCATAGTGATATTCAGCAGTGAGGTATATAGCACTTTTTCTAGGACCAGTTCATGAACTTAATTGTCAGATTACGTGGATACTCTAGTGAGCAACCTTTGCCAGCAACTGCAAGAGCAGCTTTCTCAGAAGGGAAAGGATAAAGAAAGGGCTGTTAGATCCAGGACAGCACTGGCTTTAATGACCTTTCATTTCTGGTGCTTCATTTTGAGGTTAAATACACTAGCTGGGAAAAGATCACATTGGAAAATGTATGTATCTGTTCAGTTCTGTAGACAGGGGAAATGACCTTAGACTGCCACATTCTGCCTAATCAATTTGAAAAGACACCACAGTGCCTACAAAGCAATGTATGAATGACCCTAAGTAAGGCTGCATTTCTTGGGCAGTATGAAGTGAGAGCCTAGAAACTCCAGATATAAGGAAGGAACGCAGCGAGCGGCATGCCTCTCTACTCTCAGGGCTCTCTGGCTACAGATGAGAAGACCTTCATCTGCAGTGGGGGGCTTGAGGGCTAGAGAGCTGAACCAAGGAAGGAAAGGTTGCCTTCCCTATTGCAGTGAATTCCTCAGAGAAAGCTGTGGAAGAGGGCTTCTGTACTCCTCACGTCATAGCCGGCTAGTGGCAAAGCTTGACTCAAGGTTCCTGGTTTGTTGTCTCTAGTTTCCAGGGACAGTCTAAGATGTCCTGGGGAATCCCCTAAGATCCTGGAGATGATCAAGCTTTTCAGCTACCTCCATACTCAGGGCAAGATAACACACAATCCTAACTGTGGTTCAGCACCTATTTCCCTGCCTCTCATACTTTCTCTTTCATTCTTCTCCCACTGAGAGTTTTCAGAAATGAATGCTCTTACAGCACAAAAAAGGGCCAATCCAAGATTCTTGGGTGGGTTCCCATGGGAGCTACTGGCATGACTGCTCTTGGGGATCTTCTAACTGGGTGGGAACCATGATAATTTGCATGCTTAGGGACAGGTGAAGTAGTTCTGGTCCCTTTCCAACATTCTAAAGTACAGCCAGGTTTGGGACTACAGGACACTGTACACTTTCATCTTGTTTTTATTGCACTTTGTTCAGTCTTCAGCTATTACTTCAACTCAGTTCAGCCAAGTATATGAAACTTCAACCAGACAGAGCATTTTGCTGTGGATATAAACCCATGGTTCATTCCATAGTGAAGGAAACAGATAAATAATAATTATAGCAGTGTTTCTCAGTCCTCTTTTCATTATTACTTCCCTAAGAAATCTTTTAAGATTTTTTCCCCCCATCATCCCCTCTCAGGAAATTTTAATGCCACAGATATACCGAAAGTCTGTTTATGTACTGTGTATACTATGTATATCTGTGCTTCATACTTTAAAAAAGTATGTTTTTCACCCCGTTGGGGGAAATACCACCCCCATAGAGAGTCTATGGATTCTGGTAAAGCACAATGGGACTGCAGTAGGGAATGTAAAATGGCAGGCGGGCCCCAAAAGCTCTGTCTACTTTATGTCTCCCATCTCTTCTGAGCATTACAGCTCTATGATTTTTTTTCTTGTCTCTCAGTTTGTCATTTCCATTTCTCTCTCTCTCTCCCCTGTCCTGGACTTTATCCTTTTTCTCTCTCAAGTGTGGAAGTTTAGGAATCTGTACAACTCAAGGATAATATAAGGAATGTGATTTCCTCAAACTGCCCTCTGAGAAGTCACCCCTTTGGAAGAAAGAACCTAGAGACCTATAGGGTATTCATGGGAAAACATAGTTGGGATTAGGAGAAATAAAGATACCTGTTTAGAGTTGCCTTTCAGAGGAGAAGACTTCCCAAGAAGTCTTTATATTGGTTCCAACAGGCTTGGATATGGATGGCCTCTGAGGGATCTAACTGCTCAATGTAAATTTGTCTGGGGGGATGTCATTTCTGCCAGTGGGATCAGATCTCTTCTCTGGCTATATAGTGTAACCAATCATAGAATCCTTCCTCTACAGAAATTACCAGAGGTGTGCAGTCTCAGTGATGGAAGGCCCTTTGTCCTGAATCTGCAGAGTCTGTATATGGCAGTCACCAAACAAGAGTTCCAAATGGGACAGAAGCATCAAAACATTGGTGAGTATCTAGAGATATCTGTTCCGCCTAGATTAGTGTTAGCAGGTCTAGCTCTGTGCTGTCCAATATGATCACTCTAGCTGTGTGTGACTATTTAAATTTAAATTAATAAAAATTAAATAAAATTTAAAATGTGTTTTCTTATTTTAACTAGCCCCATTTCAAGTACTTAGGGTAGTCACATGAGGCCAGTGGCTGCCAAGTTGGACATTGCTAATAGACATGTCTATCATTGCAGAATGTTCTGTTAGATGGCACTGATATAGGTGGTTAGGAAGGTTAGTGAAAGAATCAGGAAAAAAGATGAATCTCCCTATCTGACACAGGGAATATGTAGAAAAATAGTTGGCTATTTTTATTTTTTAAATTAAATTAAATTAAATTCATTAAAAAAATTTGAGACACAGTTTCACTCTGTTGCCCAGGCTAGGGTACTGTGGTATTAGCCTAGCTCACAGCAACCTCAAACTCCTGGGCTCAAGCCATTCTCCTGCCTTGGTTTCCCAGGTATCTGGGACTACAAGAACCTGCCACAATGCCTGGCTAATTTTTCTATTTTTTAGTAGAGATGGGGTCTTACTCTTGCTCAGGCTGGTTTTGAACTCAGGGCAGTATGAAGTGAGAGCCTAGAAACTCCAGATATAAGGAAGGAGTTATAGGGATCCTCCTGCTTCGGCCTTCTAGAGTGCTAGGATTACAGGAGTGAGCCACCATGCCCAGCCCAATAGGCTAATTTTAGTCAAGGAAATTCTTATCCTACCTGCTGAATGTGGCCCTAGGGAATCTTCATTATAGAAACAGACCTTTCTGAAAGTCAGTTGGAAATTGGATTTGCAGCTACTTCTATCTGCTTATGTATTAGTACCAAACCCTGGCCTTTATCAGAATGCTTAATAAATGCTAATGTCTTCCTGGTAAGAAGAAGACATTTATTGCTATCTTCTACTGATCTTTCTGATTTCAGGAGACCCTCAGACCTCAAGCAGTGCCTTCCTGAAAGGAATTGAAAGCCAACTTCCAAACCAGCCAGAACAACCGGTCTCCTCAGCACCAGACTTCTCAGCACCTCAGAAAGAGCCCACAGTGAGTCATGTGTAGCTTCCTGGAGAGTGTTCTGAGAGTTTGGAGGGGTTGACATCTGCAGCCTCTGAGCCAGTGGCTCCTGGAATTGCCACTTAGTTGACACTGCCTCAGCAATGTTGAGGGACGTTTGTGACCAGCATCCAAATTGTGGATATGTAGATGGAGAGTCATAGTCAGCCACATCTTTCCTTGCTGCCTCCACTCTGCAGTTCTAGTACTAAATGATGAACCTTGACTCTCTTTTCACCTTATCCTACTTTCAGTGCTGGTCTTGAGGTTATTCCTTGGGGAAGAAGGGACATACATCATCTCCTTCTTAGAATCTTTTTTTTCTTTTTTTTTAGAGACAGAGTTTCACTTTGTTGCCCTTGGTAGAGTGCTATGGTGTCACAGCACACAGCAACCTCCAACTCCTGGGCTTAGGCGATTCTTCTGCCTCAGCCTCCTGAGTAGCTGGGACTACAGGCGCCTGCCACAACACCCAGCTATTTTTTGTTGCAGTTGGCCC